ATGGTTCTTTTATGCAAAGATCTCCGATTAAAAGACTAACTTTTTTCCACCTCACATTCATTCCAAACACTATCAAGTAAATTTATACCATCATAATCTTTTATGGAAAATAATTAGTTGGGGAATGAGTATAAGCCCCGAAGAATCGATGTGAAAAAATAAATAAATAAAAAATCTGTAGATTCATTCCTTGGAGCTACCTTCGCGGAATGATTTCATTCCTCGGAGGTAGCTCCGCGGAATGGATCTTGAGATTTTTTATTTTTATTTTTTTTTTTGCCACATCGATTCCTCGGAGATTAAGTTGATTCCACGGAGCCCTCGGAACTCATCTTCACCGAATCCATGTCTATACCTGAAAATTTGATTTTTTTGTGTATTTTTTATTAATGGTAATTTCCCTTGACCCGTAAAAGAGACAGAGGATAATGAATTACTTCATGCTGGGTCCAAAAGACAACAGTTGACTTCTTATATTCTCGTCATCTCATACGCACACACATAGGACAGATGTTTGTTTGAGAACTTGTAGTCTTGTAGAGCAAGTTTTGGGCCAAAACGATGTCGCCATGGTGGAGCTTGTCAAACAAGTTGTATTGGTAAATTTCATGTCCTTTTTCTTGACTTTATTGACTTCACATTTATTTATTATCATTAAAAGTAAATGACTATATATTTTTTATTTCCTAATGTTCTCTCTATTAAAAAATAATTGTTTTACTTTCTTAAGGCTACACAATATTTGGAGCTTGGAGCGTCTGATCCAATTTCAATCATGCTCTATAGAACACAATCCATTTATCTAAAATATTAATTGATTATTTTAAGTTTTTAGTCATTATAATTTTAATTTCCCTCTTTATTAATTAATTGTCATATATTGGTTATTTCATATAATATGATAAATATTTATCAATTAAAGATCAAAAACATTTTATACAAAATGTATCATTATAGAAGTCTCGTTGGGATCTTTAAGACAATCTCCTTTATATGATAATTGTTATAAAAAAAGTATAATCTATAAAGTAACTCAAAACATATAACATAGAACATACATAACTAATAAAAAAGAATGTAAAATATAACATTGATTAAAACTAAGTGACTTTCTTTTTTATTTATTAGCTTAATGAGTTAAACATTTAATTTGAACAACTATACAAGATCAATTTTTTTTTCATTTGAAAGTAATGGAGTGTCGAATCCATCAAATTGACCTATAGTGTCAATCCTAGAGAATCGGATTTAATAAATAAATCAAACTAGTCACATTTTTATTCAAACGTATAAAAATAAAACAATTTTGAAAATGAGTAAGCTAAACTAAAACTATCACTATTATGCAAATAAAATTAACAATAAACAAAGTAAAAACAATTCGGTTCTAAGTTCTATTCACCTAATTGTACAATTTAATTATGAATTGACATGAAATTGTATTTTAATCCATACTAAAAAACACTAACAAACTTCAATATCTTTTCACTTGCCTATATTATTCAAAACAAACTCTTTAATTAAACCTAATCTCACTAATTAAATTTAAGTTGATGAGACTCATTAATGAGGTTATCGATAATAAATCCAATTTATCTAGCACTTGATTACAAGCTTTTTAATCAAGTTATAAATTATCTAATTAAAACACACACACACACACATATATATATATATATATATATATATATATATATAAAGGAAACATTTTTTCTTTCACCACATTCATTTGAAATTCCCATGCATTTTTCCTTTCACCACATTATTTGAAACTCCCATGACTTTTTAATTTCTTTCTAATAATGATTATAAATTGGTTAATAAGATTAAATAAATATCAAACCTAAAATGTAATCATATATAAACTAAATTACAATATTAAAAAAATATCTTAACTTCTACTTATAAAGTTATGTTTTTTAACTCTTAACATATTATATTTAATTTATTAGTTTTAATATATTGTTGGATGTAAACGATTGTCATTTTAAAACTACAACTTTTGAACAATTTGTATAAAATACTTAAATTATAAAATTAGATATAACATTACAGGATCAACTTAAATATAAATTTTAGTTTAACTTAAACAACCCAAAGAATATTTTGTAAATAGTTAAAAGTGATAAATTGTAGTGTCTTTCTAATAATGATTATAAGTTGGTTAATAATGTTATATCCTGCATGGAAGCCAGAAAGTATATACAAAATAAGTGCTACTACTTTTTAGCTCACATCGTTGATAAGAAGAACAAAGGGAAATATATTAAGGATGTACCTTAGGTGTGCGACTACCTTGATGTATTTCCTGAGGATCTATCCAGATTACCGTCAGTACGTCAAGTCGAATTTCAAATTGATCTGGTCTCAGGAGCGGCTCCAGTAGCAAAACCCCCTATAGATTGGCACCATCAGAGATGCAAGCTATGATGCATGGAAATGCCATTCAAGTAGCCGTACCCGTATCTGATACTTGGAGGAAACGAAAACGGCAGGAAACGTTTCCTGAACGTATCAAGGGTTTCAAGAAACGTATCGGGTAAGTTTCCATAAAGTTTCCTTTTTTTTTTTTTTTTTTTTTTGCATGGGCTTCTTTAGTCCAAATAGGATAATAGTGTAATGGGCTATACGATATTACCCTACAACTATTAGTCTTTTACCGATCGCTGCCTCCCTAAGTCCTTAAATTTTTAATCGATTTCATATATTATCGTTTACAGTTTACTGCTTGGCTGCTTGCGCGCTTGGCTGTCGACGTTCAAGAACAAGAAAGAATTCAGTGAATTCAGAATTCAGAAATCGATATGTATAATCTTTACATATTTTGGATTTTTTTAATATATATATATTTTTTCATATTTTTATATTGCCGTATCTGTGCCGTATCCGTATCTAGAATTTTTGAGTTTTGCCGTTTCCCGTTTCCGTTCCGTATCCGTTTCCCGTTGCCGTATCCGTTTCCGTTCAACTTAGGATGCAAGAACTCTCTAGCCAACTACCGGAGCTTCCCGACAAAGGCTTCATTACAAGCTTTTTAACCAAGTTATAAATTATCTAATTAAAACATGTTACATAATTATTGAACAAACTCTCAATAATTATGTGAAAATTGCATTAATGTTCAAACAAATATACCAACCACAAGTGGTTTCCTCATAAGCTCCAACGACTGTACCAATTGATTTGATAATATCAATCAACATCTATTGCATTCTCAATAACATTATTACTACTTTAGTCAATTAAATGGTCGATACGGTAACTAAAGAATCAACATAACAATTCAATCATCCAAACCCTAATTGAGGTGATAAAAAGAAACTAAGACAACAAAAAATAACATAACCAACAACTTCACTAGCAAATCTAAAATCATTCACATGATTGTAAACCGAATATTGACACAGGTGACCAACCATTTAAGACGCCTAAACCACTAGAAACTACAAAATAATCAACAATAAATTAAAACTTACAAACGGAAATTCAAAATTGTTTTGATGCTAAGAACATCAGAAAAAACATCAAGTAGTTCGCTCTCTGTTTCTATCGTGCGTTGAAGAAGAAGAAGAAAAAGTGTGCGTGTCTTTTCTTTTATAGACGATCCCCCCTTTCTTTTTTCCTTCCTGCATACTTCATCTCAAACAACGCTAATGGGCTCTTCAATTGTGACTTGGGCTGCCATTTAGTGCATTTTATGGGCTGCTATTAATTTCCAAACGTGCGCAGCAAATGGAATAACAAAATCAGATTTTCCGCCTGAGTTTAAATGCATTTATGTTGGGCAGATTTTTGCTGCTGTAATGCTGTTCACCTGGCCCAAAATCCAATCACTTTATTAAGATCATTATTGTAAACAATCCAAACATTTATTTATATCGTTTTGTTTTTCTTGCATGATCACAGATATTGTTGCAAGATTAGCATTACCCGCTTGCATAAATATGCACAAACTTAAACTAAACGGTAAAAATATTCAAAAAAATTATGTGATGATTAGATGTAAAATGGAATGTTAATTATGTCAAATATCGACATGTTAAGAAAAGGATTAAGAAAACATGATGAATGATGCATAAAAATGAACCTAGCTAACATTATAGGCCAAGCCCAAAAATCTGGCATAATATATTAAGATGCCAACCTTTACATACTTGTCTTTCTTCTTTTCTACTTCAACTCCCCTCAAGTTAAAATTGATTACTATTGAAAATATCGACGAATTTATGAAATATTGTTTTTGGAAAAAGGTTAAATAGTAATTTAGTTTTATTGACAAACGGTTTATTGAGTCTAGGAAATAAACATAAATTATGTATATCATTTTATCTAGGTATAAGTCATCACTCATTCAACCATTTTACCCGTAAAGAACTTAATATATCATAAAAGGCAACCACCCCTAAAATGTATTACATTACAATATGAACCGAAACAAAACCAAAACAAACTAAGTCGCTTTATTGATAAAAGTACAATCTTTATTGTATGTTAATATATTTTTTTTCAATTTTGCTTATACATAAACCGCACACATATATACATGTTTCTACATAGACATGTTATATAGAAGACAAAATTACACGATTGGTCCTCTAGTTTTCCAGACAACTATGAAAACCCGACATTTGTCCCTCTGGTTTCAATTTCTTGCGTGGTTGGTTTTCATAGTTGTCCTCAACCAGCTAGTTCTGGCAAACAAACCAGAGGGACAAATTGTGTAATTTTCTCTACATAGAATCATCAGACTCATCACTTTCACTTCTCTCAGGCTCAACAACATTTGTTCCCGCCTCCGAAACATCAGGTTTTTCCACACGCGTGGGTCCCGCTTTCTTCCTACCAATTTCCTCTTGCTCACCCATTTCCGTATGTAAAATCCAAGTCAAGGATACAAAATACAAACATGTACTTTGTTTTTTTCTTATTAAGGTATTGTACTTTAAGAAAATCGGTGCTATGAAAACAAATAAATGAAAGTACGTTGCTATTTCTTGCATTTAACAGATAAAGTAAATTTGACAATACGAAAGGATATCGAAATTTTCCGCCGTTCCACCATTCATGATGTTTAGCAGATCCTTCTCTACTCGTCTAACAAGCTCAGGCTACAATTCAAATCAATATCTATTATAAGATTATATTTTTCAATTTTTTTTTAATTAAATGCTATAATAATTAACTCAAAGAAAGTGCATTGCTATTTCTTACATTCAAATCCGGCTCCCTACGAAACCTCCGCCTTCGAGCATCTCTCATGGGCGGTGTAAGACCATGGCGGTGCTCCACCACCACCTCTGGCGGAGGATCACCGTCATCTCTCACCATAATCATCTGTCACAATAACACATTTGCATCACATGAAATTGAAAATTAAAAATAATAGAAATCATGTTTTACAATTTAACATGTAGAAAAAGTAAGAAAAATAAAATAGCATACTTGGCCAACATCAGCAGTTTTGATCAAAACATTGTCATCATAAGTCTTGTAAGACTCCACAATGCAAGGAAGGTCTAAAAGAGATGCAGGAAAATGGTCTTCACCTATAATAAATGCACCACTCCTTCCATCTTCTGCATCGAATATTAATTCTTTTCTGACCTTTTATATTTTTATTAGTATTTAGTAAATTAAATAAAATGTCATATCATACCTGAGAATGATAAATCCATTGACTCTGAGCCACTCTCATTTAAAAGACGATCTATACGTTCAGCAACAGAAGGTGGCACTCTCAGTATAAATTGTTCTTCCATTTTATTCAAACTGAGAAGCTCTGTAAAAAGACAATTTTTTAACAAGATGAAGATAAGGGTTTTATTTAGGAAATACACTAATACCAATACAATATATAAATCATAAAAGTTTAGTCTTTTTTAAGACAAAAACGTAGCTCTGCAGATATAAGAGTGAATTTGATGTTCAATTCATAGGCTAATCATATCGAAATCTCATGGTCAATACCATTTTAAGTTTCCTATGCTCAATTCAGTGGTCAATCTCTGCAATTTAAGGTGTATTGAAGAGGTAGAACTCATGAATCAGTAATAATCACGAATGGCAATAAGTTCTGAGGGTGAAGATAGAAAAGGCATGTGGAGAATGAATTAACTTAATTGAATATGAACGGATTGAGTAACTTCATTCGAATGATTTCTTGAGGGAATTCTTCGTTTCAACCATCATCAATAAATCTGGAGGATCACGATTCACGAAGTCACAGTAACAATTTGAGAAGAGATCATGCAGATAAAAGAGGTTCGTATCACGTAATTATCCAAATTCTCGAGCGCTCTCGTCAATTAAAAACCCACAGAGAAAAAGTAAGAAATGAAGACCTAACGAAAGATCAATCCAAAATGATAACTGGAAGTTAGAGTCGATGAGATGAAAGGGCTTATGTGTGTTCGTGTACTTGAAGCAATTCTTCAAATCAATTAGACAATTACCATCTTTTATGCTCAAACTTAAGCACGAACGCTCGCAATTTAGGGTTAAGAACGAAATAAGATCGTTTAGAGGAAAAGGTTACCTGGTTTTGTAGATAGTGGGATTGAGATTTAATGGAGATTTGAGAACCCTGCTCGTCGTAAATTGCAGATTTTGGGGGTTACATAGGAGAGGAAGGTTCCAGTTTAATCCTCTCGATAAGTTGGACCGACATTCGACATCAAAACAATATTTCCTTCTTCTCTTAAAAAAAAAATCTGGGATAAAACTTTTTTTGAAAAAATCATATAATCTATCATTTATTGTTAAAATATAAAAAAAAATTCATTAATTTGGATAAAATGTTAAATAATTGACACTTTTCTGTTAAAAAGAAATTTTTAGGATTTTATTGAAACTATTCCAAAAAATTTAAGATTTTTCTGTAGATTTCCCTCGAATTAATTTATCCACATAAAATATATGTTTTGTCGATTTGTACTGAATATGTTGTACCATCTGTTGAGTAGCATTTTGCGTTTATTTCTCTTTTTGATTCGTTTTATCGTTTTTTCAAATTCTAAAAAACCCAAAAATATTTTTCTTTTTGTCTTTATTTTACTGTTAAGTTCTCTTTACGTGTTTGTTGGACATTGATGTTTTCCTTCCAGATTTTTACGGTCTTTGCATGCATAATTGCAATTTGCAATTAGATGATCATCATCGGTATGTATTAATCTAAGGATTGAAAGATCCACATTTAGGAAACGCACACAGACACCATTTCGATCTCGAAAAATAAGATTTTTGTGATTATCCCTTAAAATCTATAAATGAAAAAATATTTATTACTTTTTATCATTTGTTAATTTCCTTATTGCATTATTCCTTCATTTTTTTTTTTTTTTTGGATTGCAAGACAAGAATAAATTATCACACCTAGTGAGAAGCTAGAGAAGAAATTAGAAGATAGCAGCCATGGGCTTATTACACCAGCTCTCCCAATCTAAGTTTACCCCCTCTTTCCACCTGCTCTTAAGCCAAAGAAAAGCAAAGGTCTTAATATCAAACATAATAGAATTAATACAATGTGTATTGTTGTCAAACACCAAAGGTCTTAAGCGAACATCTGTAACTGATTTAGGGGGGGTTCCGCGTTTGGTATGTGGTAGTTCATAAGATTTCGTAGGAATTGAAATTGAATTCCGACAAATTTCCACGTTTGGTTGCAAAAACATTAAAAAATTTAATTCCAATGAAATCCAATAAAATGCATCAAACAATGTTTTTCAAAAAATTAAAGAATTTACTGTCTTATTACTTATTTAACCCTACATACATCTTCTTCATTTATTACACTCACGACCCCACTTGTAACACCTCTTCCTTCTATCTCTCATTCACGACCTGCTACTCTCACAACATGCGCCCTGTCACACCATTTATCACATCTTCTTCCATAGTGCCCTGTTAAAGTCAAATCTAATTAATTAAAGATGATAGTAAAATGAGTTTTTGTGGGTATGTATGTATGTAGTGAAATACTATTAAATTCGTTCGGTAACAACTGTTTGTTAGACTTTAAAGGGTATCAAAAATATTATATGCAAACATATATTTATGGTGTCGTACTAAGACATTTAACATATAAAATTGTACCATGCCACAGTTGGTATGATAAACTACGCGAGAATATGGATGGAGTGCATCATTAATGGAATGGAAATAGAATGCATCTCGTACTCTTGTGTCCATATACACGTTATTTGATGGATATATATAGGCCAAAAAGAAAGCTATGAATTATTACTCTGGTGGATATTCATTCATTTCTGACAACAAAGGTGTATTACCTCTACCAATGGGTGTAGGAGGAGGCTTGCATGAAGGTCTACGATCTTTTGGTAAACAAGGCCGATCACCATAATATAGGCTTGGATATCCGATATGAGGGGCAGCCGCAACTTCAAGTAGAAGTGATGACTCCAGCAATATGCTCAGGCAAAGCAAAGTTGTTGTTGCAAGGGCACCAATATTTGCCATTTGATCAAAAATGTATTTGGAATTCAATTAATATATGAAGTTTTTGTATTTTGAAACATGGGTACTTAAAGCATAGTAATGCTATGTTGAAACTTATACATGTGTATTTATGTCATTATTTATACCAAATATGAATAATAATAATAATAAAGTTATTCAACTTCATATATATATATATATATATATATATATATATATATATATATATATATATATATATATATATATATATATATATATATATTCACAAATTTATGTTATCAAAATAAATATATCCTATTTGGGTTAGTTTTCTTAAAGTTGTGATTTTCGTGAGAAAAGAAACCTCGTTTGTTGTTGGCATTCTCTGTTTTGTGGCAAAAATTGACGTTGGTTTTTGAATTTTGTCAAGCAACCCTTGTTTCCTGATAATATAAACTATTTGTAATGTTTTGTTTTTTAAATTAATTTATTATTATTTATTTATTTTGTCAAAGATTGATCTAATTAAGTTGGGAAAGTAGACACATGATTCCAATTAGTTTTTTACTTTTCAAATATGTATTGGAGTTAAATAGTATATATAGTTTATGTGGTTTTTCATTAATTTCATATGACTCAGGAACTTCAAAGTTAGTTTGATTGCATAAACTTGTAGTAGGAACCTCATATTTATGGGATGATTGTTTGGAGCATGTAACATATTATGATGAAGGAAATAAGGGTAATTATGGACGATATGGGAAGTTTGGAGCAATGAGACTTTGAATTATGGCATATATCTCCTCTCTTGCTTTATATCGGAAGGTCTTCTAATGTAGTTAGGGCTGGTTCATATATATTTTGGACTTAGACCGAAATAAGGTTGCCTAATGTAGTTATAATAGTTCAATAAATAAATAAATACACAAACATTGCAAGTGGGTTTGAAGATTGAAAGACAAATAGTCTATGATAGTTACGTTTTCATCACTAATTGAAAATTCAGTTGTAATTAAAAAGAAAGCCTATAGATATTTTCTAAAGAAATGCATCCACTATTTTACACTTAAATCTATATTTTTTGTCTCATATGAGACTTGAATCATCAATTTAGATGATGGATACATATCCTTCAACTCCTAATATTGCTAGACTTGAATCATCAGCGTAGATGATGGATACATATCTTTCAACTCCTAATATTGCTAGACCAAAGACCCTTTAATAAATAGGTTATAGATAGGATTGATTTTAGAGCAGAAAGCATTATGATTTTGAATTCTATTCCCTTTTAAGTGTTAGTATTTTCCATTTCGGTAATGTAGTACTCATTAAAAAAGGTATCTAATTATAATACAAATGGTCATTGGTATAACCATATCATGTGTTTGAAAATGTGTCTCTTCCCAAAAGGATTGAAAGTTCAAATTATGTGGTGGACAAATATGTAATTTAAGAGTAAAATTGAGAGGCTATGTGTTAGTTGTTCTAAAAAATCTGATTCTAAACTATTTATAAAAAAGATATTTTAGATGTAATTTAAAATAAATTCCAAATTTACATTATCTAATATTATATATAATATATTCTTTTATTATTTTATTGAATAAATTTGTATTTTTGTTCTATAAAATATTACATAAAAAATGAAAAAAAAAGTTTCGTTATGTTTATATTTTACTCAAAATAACTTGTTAAAAAATTATATTACACAAACCAGTAAACTAAAATAAAAAGAATATTAATATTAATTCAATATAAATAACTCAAACATACATATATTGTCTCTTTGACCGCATTAAGCGATTTATGTATTGACCTAGCATTTCATGTCAGGCAAATTGTCTGATCCCCAGGGTCAATATGGTAAATTTCTATCGTTTAATTCCAAATGGGCTTCCGCCTATATAACTAAACCCTCATACGATGAGATTGACGGCTAGCAACACTTTTGTCCCTATGCCATTGCAGCAACCAACTTCTGTTTTGCGTTTTTCTATGACTTTTCTCAAAATCTTATTCATTTTCTGCAAATCATATAATCTAATCGCTGTCTAATGTTGATGGATATTGGAATTGTTGATTGTGTTGTTGAACATGATATGTATATATCATTTTGGATGCATTTATTTGTTGCAATATTAGAGATGGTTTTCTGATTTGGGCTGAAAAGTGATTCGTCCGTGATTTCCTGTTTAAAAGATCAGTTTCAATGGTAACTTAATCGGATGATTTGTTGTTTGGGCTTATTGTATATTGAATGACAAACATCTGAAGAAGCTGGGTGGATACGTGCCCTAAATGAATAATGGAAGGTAGAAAAAGAACTTTGCTAAAGAGGCAGGCCAAGCCATTGGAGACCACCAGCATTATGGAGAATTTAGCAATGGGCTGTTGAGAAAGTGGTCTACAACTCCCATCAACATTAGAGACCATTGGTATCATGTTGATTGGACAACAAGTGACTAGAGGTGATGATGAATAAAGTTAATTATTTACAAAACCATGTATGGAATTTTCCAAGAAAAAAAATGAAAAGAATTAAAGTTTATATTTTTTGTTTCATTTTAGTATATAGCGTGCTCTTGTATATCTAAGGTATCTCGCACACAAATTGTACATCGAGATGAAATTAAACAATGGTGTGTTTTATTGTAATATGAACTGCAAAAAAATACATGCAAATTGTACATTGATATGAAATTAAACAATGGTGTATTTTATTGTAATATGAACTGCAAAAAAAAAAAAAAAAATACATATGAATACTCACGATGTAAGATTAATTGGTTAATAATCATAGCTTCAACCTATTTTTTGGGCTTGTATTCGTAAGGTTTTTTTAAGATGTACATTATTTACAAACCATAATAGTTTCTAACATTCAATATTAATTTGAATATAAAATCACATAATTAAAGGAAAAAATTTATGGTGATTCTTTGATGAATTCACGATAAGAGTTTTTTTCAAAAAAAAATTTCACCCCAAAATGCTCATTAAAACTGAAAAAACCATTGGAAGAATTTTTTTAAAGTCGAAGCTTTTACAAAGATTTTATTAATTAACAAGCTCTTAACATCAACTTTTTCAATGATTTGGTGGGTCTTATAGGTTTTCAACTAATTGTAAATAGACAACTTAATCTCAAAACTTTGTCGTTATGAACGTCCTCTTTTAGAGCTGATTTGCACCGATCCTACAACGGATGAGTAATGATGTATTTGTGTGCTTCTTAAGAAGCATAGCACGAACCAAAATGAATGTGGTCGGTAAGCCTTTGAGGTTGGACTTAGATAATATAAATGAAGGGGAAATGAAAGACTTATATTATAGCCGGTTTCAAGGTAAGGAAATTTAAACCATCTCAGTTGAGTGTTCTCGAGGGGCGGACAGTATAGGACACACGGTTGCCCATGCAACCCCTGACTTCTCCGGACGCAGTGTAAAATTTTATGAAAATTTTCGAAAATTTTATTTTTTCTACTATCGTGCAACCTGACCTTCCCATGACACCCCTACTATGAAATCGTGCGTCCACCCTTGTGTTCTCTATTTAATTTTTGAAATCTTCAAATCCCTTCTTTAATGTAGATCTTTCTGTTGATATCCCTAGAATCTGTGCGATTGAAACCAGTAAATTGTTGGCATATGAAAGATCCACGTTTCTTTCTTGTACTCCTGGCTCTGTTTTTTCAAGAATCATTTCATTAGTTATGGTTGTCTTGAACTTTACAGACTGCATACTTTCACAGAGTTGATCAAGTTACTACATCATGGTTGATGAAATTTCCAATTTTACATTAAAAGGAATTAGATTATAATGCCATGTATGCGTTTTGTAATCGACCTGCAACTTATCAAGAGGTAGACTCTGTTCTTTTTGGTGCATTCAGTCATGAGTTTTTTTTAGCAACTCTGACTTGTTGATTCATCATCTCAGCAAAAACCTACTCAACAAAGACATTGTTGACTTAGAGACTACTTCCTCGAGTAATTCCATAGTATGAGAGATAAACTTTGTAGCTGCCATGGAAGAGGTGCATGTAATTGCCTCCAATGACTTTGTGTTATCATAAATAATGCTACTACTTGATATGATTAAGATCATTTTTAATCCTGCAGTATAGTTATAACTAATTAGTTTGATTCATATGTCCCATTTTTAACTTGCCCTAATTTCTTGTTGTTGATAATATCCTTATGTTTTGCATATGAACTTTTATAGAATGTATCACCTAAAATGCTCTCCAATTTGTCAATTCGTTTTCTCAACATAGATGATAGATTCTTAGGTATAAAATTACATATACAATGTTAGAATTTCGGAGAAATAAAGGCACTTGGATATTCTGAGAATTGTGATTTCACTTTCAAATCAAAGTATTTGGGTGGTACTCCCTTATCCTTGGACCCCAAGTATTTGGGTGGTACTCCCTTATCCTTGGACCCCGCCAGGGGCTACCGTCCCTTGGACCCGCTCCCAGGGGCGCTGCCCCTGGACCCCTGTTCGTTCCGTGGTTTCGCCCTTAAATGACAGTCTACTTTTAATCTTGAATAAACTTAAACAAGTGTGCACTCCGCACCTTCCTTACTTGTTTAATATTCATCAAGATTGATTTTGGTCAACAAGTCAACCCATTACACTTAAATACATTTAGTGAAGCAAATCACCAACATACAACCTATCAAGTATGGTATATTTATCATAATTTAAAAACTTGAAGAATGGATTCTAATTATAGAAGATAGGAGTCTCATAACATACCAATTTATGTTTGCGAACATGTATTTACAACAAAAACTATGATTTAAAGATGTCATTCTTCTGTGTTGCCATTGTGTTGTCATTAGGGTTTCACCTTGTTCACATGTATTTACAACAAAGTCAACTAGCAAAACTGTCAGACGGTTGTAAGCTCTAATCGAATTTGAATGTTTCCCCGATTCTCTAACTGCTCTCAAACAACATAATTTTTAATATTAAACACAAACAGTGACCCTTCTACATGTGGTGAGAAAAGAGAAATTTAGGTGAG